CCTTGTCTCCAGGGCTGGGCCAGGCTGGGGTGGGGGGACACTTCAGAAAGTGGTGTGTGCTTGGGTGTGGCCTGGAGGGACCCTGCCAAGTGGCCTGGGGCTCCAGGAGCTCTGTGAGCTCAGCCAGCCTGGCCCGAGGCTGTTCTCTGACCGGCCGAGCCATTTGGTTAGCATCGATTGGCTCAGAGAAAAGCATCTGGCAAGGCTGGGGCGGGGGGGTGGGGGGACTGGGCCTGTGCGGAGGGAGGGGGGGCTGCAGAGCCAGAAGGATTGGCCACATGACTGACAAGACTCTGAGGCTCAGAGAGCCCCACGGACTTGCCTGGGGGCCTTCAGGGGATTCCAAGCCATGGGACTGTCCCTGCACAGGTGTAGGGAGAGGTGGTCAGGGGGAGGGCTGAGACCGTGGGGCCGGGGAGGGCTGAGCGGCCGTCCGTCCGATGATGAGCCGATGAGGCTGGCCTGCCTGCCCCTGGCAACTTGGAGCTCCTGGATTTGAAGTCAGGGGTGAGGCCTGTTCCACCACCCTCTTCACCAGCTGTGTGGCCTCAGCCAGCCTCTCTCCCCTCCCCCCCCCCCCCCACTGTGCCTCATTTCGTCTTGGATGGTGTGGTGGTGTGAGGGTTCCTTTAAAGAATCTGGTCCGTGATTAGGACTGGGTCCTCTTCCTTGGTTAGCTCCGTCCTGCTCCCAGGGTGGGCAAGCTGCAGGACCCCTGCCACTCTGGCCATCTGGCCTGGGACTGGAGCAGAGGTCCTGCCAGTGCTGGTTTCCCTGGGGACCTCTCTGGCCTCCCCAGGCCTGGGTGTCTCCAGCCTCGCAGAGCTGGTGTTACAGCTTCTTAGGGAGCTCTGGCTACTTAGAGGCTGAGAGAAGAGAAGGTCTGGGATAAGACGGGGGGCACACGGCCTGTTTCCCCACCTCAGTGCCTTTGCATATCCTGTGCCTTCTGCCTGTTATGCCCTTCCCACCCATCCCGCCAGGTCCAGCCCCACAGGCCCATTCATAAGCACATCTGGGGTTGCTGAGTAGACTGGGTGAGGTCTACTCGCCCCCTCCCCCACAGGTTCCTGCCCAGCAGGTGCAGGGTTTTGGGATTTGCGGGAAGGAGGACATGGAAACAACACAGTCTCTACTGTGTATTCTCTATGCTAGCAGGGGAGCAGAAGCAGAGGAGGCGGCACGGGGCGGCAGGGACCTTCCCTGAGCTTCCCCTTACACACACACCCTTAGGTGCCTACTCTGGGCCCCGGCACCTGGCCAGACTGCCTAGGATTGGGGGCCCCCCATCTGCTAATGAACCCATGAGGGCTTGCGAAGTTCATCACCGGACTCCTCCCTGCCCTAGCACATTGGACACTCCAAGACTCAGGGCAAGTATTGAATGGAGGAAGGAAGGAATGAGGCTGCGGAGCCTCAGGTGAGCTCAGATGTGTGGGAGGCCAGGAGGCTTGGGAGTAGCCGAGCAGTCAGGTGCATGCCCCTGGAGGAGAGGAGGAGGAGAGCCTGAGGAAAGGGGGATGAGGCCCAGCCTTACTTTCTTCAGCCCCCTCAGGCAGATCAACGCCCGCCCCACGCAGGAGAGGGCTGAGGAGGCGGATGGGAGGGGGTGCAAGTCTCCTCCACAGAGCCCAGCTGCTAATTTGCAATCTTAAGGTGCGCGGCAAAGGCATCTGCCTCATTGTTGGTACGTTCATCAGGCCATCAGTGGGGTTGGGGCCCCCACTGGCACACGGAGGGGGCACAGGAGGAAGAGCTGCAGCAACCAAGCGCCAGCCTTCCTGGGAAGAAACCCGGCAAGGTGACAATCCAGGACCAGCACACCCATTGGCTTGAGCACGGGTGCCAAGGGCGGAGGAGTTTGGCTGCGAGGGCTGGTCCAGGGCCTTGGAGATGGGACCAGCTTCTAGGGTGGAGAAGCAGATTCAGCGGAGACCCACTCCAGTGCCCAGTGGAAGGAGGCCAAGGTAGTGCAAGGGCAGCTTCCCTGGCCTGGATCCCTGGCATCTGGGCGGCACTGAAGGATGGAGAGCAGCTCTTAGCGGTTGGCTGGGGTCCCTGCCTCCTTTGGGGCCCCTCTCGTAGGAAGGACATGGGGGGTTCCTTCCTGGGTCCTGCCTTTACCCCACACACCCGCCAAAGTGTGTTCACAAGCTGGCTGCTCAGCCCATGCCTAGATTTTTGGGCATTTGTTTTTTTCATCCAAGCTGGGGTCTCTGCCTGGTTTCCCTGTGCTCCGACATTCCCTGGCGCACCTGTCTAAGGGAGGTTATGGCTCTCCTTGGGGCCCCCAGCTTCCCTGGGAACACTTCTGAGAAGCCCAGCCCCAGGGCCTCATGGAGACATAGGCCACAACAGCAGGAGGAAGGGTTGTCTGCCCCCATCCAGGTCAGGGGGGCAGGAGAACACCCCCACCACACAGTAATGCTGAGGATCAGAGGAGAGCAAGCAGAAGCACTTTGTAAACTTCATAAGCTGCACAAATGTCGAGTGGTATTAGTGCTGAGCCTGCCACAGCTTACCCCTGCCCCCATGGTCGGTGTCTCTCTGCTGCCAGACATAAGGGCAGGAAAAGCCTTTTTCTTTGCGGCATCGCCCCCCCCCCCCCGGGTCTGGTGTGGCACTGTGTGTCCCACAGGCACCAGTTTGTGACCGTGGCCTGGTCCCCTTCAGCACAGTGAGTACTGTGAACGCCCTTGAGCTGGGAGGGGTCCCCTGGGCCCCCCCCCCAATGGCAAGGTGGGGGCCGCTTCTCTGGGGCAAGGTTCCTGGGAGACAGCAGCCTGGGCAGGGGTGAGGAGTGCCAGCGAGAGAGGGGAAAGGGGTGTCAGTCTCTGTGGAAGCTGCAGCCAATGTGGGTTGGGTCCTCCTCCCACCCCTGGCTTTTGGAGGCTCAAGGCACCTGGCAGGCTCCCGGAGAGTCAGCTGGGGCTTGGGGTTCAGGCTCCCGGCCCCTCACACTCTTGCTTCCCCCCTGCACAGCTGGGAGCCCCTGCCAGACTGAGGTGGGCAATGGGGGCCTGGAGGTCAGACCCGAGCCTCCACGTGGGGCACGCTGGTAAAGCGATCGTGTCCTACCCGTGTTACAGGGAGGGAAACTGAGGCTTAGCCTGCAGGCTGTCCAGCGGTCGCGATGACTGAAGACACTGCAGGAACCACCTAGAGCGTGGCCCGGCCCGGAAAGGGTCCTCACAGCTGCACAGCCGCCGCCGCCACCGAGGTCATAATTGCTCTGAAATCGCAACCGAACCCAATTATGCAAAAACGAAGTTATATGCGATGATTTTTATGTTGGAAACGTTCGGTGGAAGCCGGGTGATTACAGGGGGACGGGAAGCAGCTGCCGCTCTCTGCGAGCCCGTAACTCCCAACAGCTGGGAGCTGTCACTTATTTACGATGCCGTTTCTGCCAGGAATGAGGGGTGGCAGTGGTGGCTAGGCCTGCCCGAGACAGGCCAGGAGGCTAGGCCAGCAGCAGGCCTGGGAGCCTGGCCTAGTGGCCCGCATGAGGCCGGGAGCAGGCCAGTCCGAGTGGCCGGGAGTCTTGGTTCTCTCCACCTGCTTTGGGCAGAGCCAACAGCAGGAATCAGCTGAGCTGCCCCAGGCCCCGGCCTCCCCCGAGAGGCCCAGCTGGCCAAGCTGGAAGGGGCGGGCAAGAGGCCAAGCCCAGGCAGGGACGAGATGGCTGCCTGGCCATGCAGGGTGGGGGTCTACCGGCCTGGAGCCTGTCCTCGCTCGCCGGCGCGCCTGCCGGGCAGCCTGGGGCAGCTGCGACCCTGGAAAAAGGCAGGTAATGATGATCGTCTATAATGAGGACGCTCCGATAATGAGCACGGGGCTATTATCCGACCACAGGCTGGACACATCCGAAAATAAATTATTTTAGGGATCCATTAACGAATGCCTAATTAATGCCCAATTAGAGGGAAGCTACAGAGGAAATGCTCCGGACAGTCGAGAGGCAAAAGGCCTGATTTGCCACCACGGCCGGGAAGCACACAGCCTGGGAGTGAGGTGCGGGGATGGGAGGGGCCTGAAGATGGACCCGATGGGGGGGGCCCAAGCCAGGCAGCCCTGGTGTCTCCCCCAGTCCTTCACACATATGTCCCCTTAGCACATCCTCGTAGCTCCGCAAGGAACAACTACTACTATTTAGAAATGAAGAAACTGAGGCACAGAGAGCTGTCACATATTTGAGGACACAGAAGGCACCATAAATGAGACATCTTTTGAGCTGAACTTTGGTGTCTTGCATGCATGCTTTGTTATTAAAATACATAAAAAGGGGCGCCTGGGTGGCTCGGTCGTTAAGCGTCTGCCTTCGGCTCAGGTCATGGTCCCGGGGTCCTGGGATCGAGCCCCGCATCGGGCTCCCTGCTCAGCGGGAAGCCTGCTTCTCCCTCTCCCATTCCCCCGCTTGTGCTCCTGCTCTCGCGCTCTTTCTCTGTCAAATAAATAAAATCTTTAAAAAAAAAAAAAAAAAAAGAATACATAAAAAGACTCCTCAGGCCTCCATATATTGACTTTGTTAGACCAGGAGTCTGAAGCACTACCCGCTCATGTGCTGTTAAGGGAGTGGCAGAGCCGGGACGGGAACCAGAGGCTGGGCGCCCCGTCCACGGGCTGCGACGCCCACCCCAGCAGGGCGGGCCGAGCCTGGGGGCGGGGCTAGGGCTTAGGGGCGGGACTGAGGGTCCGGCGCGCGTCCCCGAACTCTCCTCGCCGCGGGGATGCGGGGAGACCCCTCCTAAGGGGCGGAGCGCCAGAGCGTGGTCTCAGGCCCGGTGAGGGCCCCGCTTGGGCCCGACCCCCGCCTTCCTCCCGGCAGGAGCCACCCCCAGGGGGCCGCCATCCCAGACCGCCGAGTTGCGCACAGCCCGGGACGGAGCCCGGCCGAGGGGGGAGGCGCGTCCCCCAGCCCCGCAGCCCGTGCGTCCCCGCCTCCCCTGGCCGAGCCTGACCTGGCTGTGCTCTCTCTCCCCCCCCGCCCCCCCCGCCAGGGTGCTGTGTGGAACTGTTGCTGCTGCTGCTGGCCGGGGAGCTGTCCCTGGGCGGCGGCTGCCCGCGGGACTGCGTGTGCTACCCCGCACCCATGACGGTCAGCTGCCAGGCGCACAACTTCGCCGCCATCCCCGAGGGCATCCCGGAGGACAGCGAGCGCATCTTCCTGCAGAACAACCGCATCACCCTCCTCCAGCAGGGCCACTTCAGCCCCGCTATGGTCACCCTGTGGATCTACTCCAACAACATCACCTTCATCGACCCCGGCACCTTCGAGGGCTTCGTGCACCTGGAGGAGCTGGACCTTGGCGACAACCGGCAGCTGCGGACGCTGGCGCCGGAGACCTTCCAGGGCCTCGTGAGGCTGCACGCCCTCTACCTCTATAAGTGCGGGCTCAGCGCCCTGCCCGCAGGCATCTTCGGTGGCCTGCACAGCCTGCAGTACCTCTACCTGCAGGACAATCACATCGAGTACCTGCAGGACGACATCTTTGTGGACCTGGTCAACCTCAGCCACCTGTTCCTGCATGGCAACAAGCTGTGGAGCCTGGGCCAGGACACGTTCCGGGGGCTGGTGAACTTGGACCGGCTACTGCTGCACGAGAACCAGCTGCAGTGGGTCCACCACAAGGCGTTCCACGACCTCCGCAGGCTGACCACCCTCTTTCTCTTCAACAACAGTCTCTCCGAGCTGCAGGGCGACTGCCTGGCACCCCTGGGAGCCCTGGAGTTCCTCCGCCTCAACGGGAATGCTTGGGACTGCGGCTGCCGGGCGCACTCCCTGTGGGAATGGCTGCGGAGATTCCGGGGCTCCAGCTCCGCCGTCCCCTGCGCGTCCCCCGAGGCGCGGCAAGGCCAGGACCTGAAGCTGCTGAGGGCCGAGGACTTCCGGAACTGCACGGGGCCAGCCTCCCCGCACCAGATCAAGTCGCACACGCTCACCACCACCGACAGGGTCGCCCGCAAGGAGCACTACCCGCCCCGTGGCTCTGCCAGGGACAGGGGCCACCCGCATGGCCACCTGCCCGGCTCCCGCCCAGGCCACCGGAGGCCGGGCAAGAACTGCACCAGCCACAGGAATCGCAACCAGGTGTCCAAGGCGGGCGCCGGGAAGCAGGCCCACGAGCTGCAGGACTACGCCCCTGACTACCAGCACAAGTTCAGCTTTGACATCATGCCCACTGGGCGGCCCAAGAGGAAGGGCAAGTGTGCCCGCAGGACCCCCATCCGTGCCCCCAGCGGGGTGCAGCAGGCCTCCTCGGGCAGTTCCCTGGGAGCCTCCCTCCTGGCCTGGATACTGGGGCTGGTGGTCACTCTCCGCTGAGGACCTGGAGCGCCAGCACCCAGCACTGCCACGTGTCCACCAAGGAACAGAATCTCTTTTCTTTTTTTTAACAAGGGGAGCATCTGCTGGGTTTCAGGCAAGTTGGTAAGGTCTTCGGCTGCTGTCTGGGCCCTGCCGGGTGGATTATAAACCCAAAGTGTACAGCCCCAAAGTGGGAAGGGATTAGTGAGCACATCACACCCAGCTGTCCAGCCAGGCCCTGCCGAGCGCCCACGGACAGCATCCATCCAGCAAGGTGGTTAAAGCCCGCAAAATGAATCCTTCATTAGCAACAATGGGACAGTGCCCCACAGGAGCTGGGCTCTGTGGAATCCCAGTCATTGGAGAGGTCTGAAGGGCCCCCGCCATCCCTGGAGGAAGCAGGACTCAGAGGAGAAGAGCCGAGGCTCACCCAAGAGGCTGGGTGTCCCAGCTGTCTGGGAGCATGGAAGCAGGTGGTATTTTGGCTCTTGCCTGAGGCCACGGAGTCTACCTGCCCTCACTCCGACCCTCAACCCCTCCCTCGGGGGTAACGCCTCTCGTTCCTGATGTCTCAGGCAGCCCTGGCAGACCCAGGCCCAGCCGCTAGGCTCCAAGAACCAATTACCAAAGGAAAGATCATCAGAGGCTGAAATTCAGAACTGCATCAAGTGCAGTGAGATTCTCACAGGAGGTGCAGTTTTATAGCTACGTCCACTTATATATATACACACTCTCCACATATAGATACACACAACTGCCCAGGGCCCCGCCCCCCGCCCCCCCCAACTGTATGTCTTCTCATGTTTATAAACTATACGGAGAACTATGAACTAAGGATTGTATTGGTGATTTCTAGCAAGAAAAGAGTTACAGGGTTTTTGTCTAGAATCCCAACCTGGCAACAACAGTCCTCGTTGTAACCTGTGCTTGCCAGGGCCTAGGGCAAAGGGTCAGTGGGAAGGGCCAGAGAGAAGAAGGGGAGGCGGCAAGAATCACTTCAGGGGACCAATCTTCTTCGATGTTCAGAGCATCACCTTGTTTTTATATGCAACGCAAGTCCAGCTGCCGCCCCAGAGCACCCCATCACCCCCACTGTACTAGGTGTTGTCAGGGCCAGAAGCGAGAAGCAGCTCATTGGACATCAGGGAGCCAGGCCCTGGGGACGAGCTTCACGGAGAAGGGGACGGAAGGGGCTCTGGGTCTTTTTTGCCGACGGGCAGGCAGCATCCACAGTGTCAGCCCAACAGGCTGGGCAGTGTCATCAGCCTAGCGTTTTTGCCAGCAATGGTCTGGACAGGCCAGGGAGACTCTGGGCATGAGCCCAGGCCTCCAGCATGGCTCAGCTGCTGAATTTTTCCTTGAGGCTCTTTGATGGCTGTCCCAGCAAGGGTCCTGTGTAGGCGGCAGGAGGGAAAGCATCAGGTGGCCTTAGCAGAAGGGGAACAAAGAGGGCATTTCAAGAACCATCTCAGGCACTTCTGCATTACGGAGGCCGCAGCCCTCCTGGCCCTTCTGAACACGCCCAGGGACGGGCAGAGGTGGGGGAGGGGGCCAGACTCAGGGGTCAGGAGTGGGGACGTGCCGGGCATGGAACAGGCAAGCCCAGCGAGGGGACAGTGGCTCCAGTCAAGGTTGGCCATGCTGCCGGCCAGGGCCCCGGCAGGCGCAATCTCCTCTGAGCTTTGCACAAACCTGAATTCCCCACCAGAGAGGATGTGTGTGAGGAGCAAGAAACACCGAATCCAATCAAGAGAGGAAAATAATAATAAAAAAATTTCTCTTGGACAAGAACCCTGTTTCTCATTTCCCAACCCTGCATTCCTGAAGTGGTGGCGGATCCCAGGCTTTTGTGGGGTGGGCGAGCCTGGCCGGGCACAGCACGTTTGTTGGTGGGAGGAGCCATATGGGGCAGGGGCACACTGACTCACTGGGATGCATGTGTGCACACGCGTGCGAACACACACACACACACACACTTGTTCTCTGTGCTAGGATTCTTCCCTCAGCCTCACAGAACATGACTCACTTCCCGCAGCCTGGCTGTGCTGGGTCGACCCAATCTCTGCGGCTCTCCCTGGAGCAGGCTGGTCCTGGATCCTTCCTGGTCTGTTCCCAAGAGCCTCGCGCACAGCAGCTGAGCTGTGGATTCTTAGGGGGCTCAGGAGTGGCTGGAAGAGAGCTGCTGGTTCCTGGGGCCCAGAGGGGTTTCCAGGAGGCCAGGGACCCACCCAGACGGCAGCAGAGAGGGTCTGGAGGCTGCACCTGCTTCTCCTGCTTCAGAGAAGCGAGGCGGTTCTCCAGATAGAGAGGGGAGGGCTGGGTTTCCAGGCGCGACTGAACAAATCTGCCTCTTACAAGGCTTGAAACCCGCACTAACGGGAGTGCGGGGAGTGCAGGGACCGCAGAGCACAGTGCCCGCTCTCCCAGGCCAGTGCCAGGGCCCAGCTGTCCCTTAGAACCCGAGGATGCTGTCCTGTTGTTGATTTCTTTCTTTCTTTCTTTTTTTTTAAAGATTTTATTTCTTTATTTGAGAGAGAGACACAGCGAGAGAGGGAACACAAGCAAGGGGAGTGGGAGAGGGAGAAGCAGGCTTCCCGCCGAGCAGGGAGCCCGATGTGGGACTCGATCCCGGGACTCTGGGATCATGACCTGAGCCGAAGGCAGATGCTTAATGACTGAGCCACCCAGGCGCCCCGTCCTGTTGTTGATTTCATGTCCAACGTTAGACAGCAAAGCCCTCCGTGGGAAAATCAAAAGTCCAAGCACTTTATTAAATTTTTTTTAGAAGACTTAGTAAGTCCTGTAATATGAAAGTGAAATGTTGGTACAAGAAATGCTAATGTTTTATAAATGATCCGCTTCTGTCAAGTGCAGTACAGTCTCTGGTTGCCGACTGTTTTTAGAGGCGAGGCAGAGGGGCCCAGGACGCCAGGTGTATTTTTAGCAGCTTTCTCCTCTAAGAGGTAGAGGGAATGAAAGCGGCTCTGTTGTGGATGATATCACTTGTCACTTGGCAGTCCACATGCTACGCAGGAACGATGACACCATTGCCCAAAGCACCAGAGCAAGTTGACAAGTCAGGGGCTAGACCTCCCTGGTCACCAGACGCCGTGTCCCTCCTGGGTGGGTCAGGCCCAGAGACGTGGGTCCTTGCCCCTAGGAATCCTGTCCTCCTCCTTTGTTCCTAACGGGGCCAGCCCTTCTGCCATCTTTGCTCTTGGCTCTTCCCCTGAGCCCTGGGATAGAGCCATCTCCTCTTCTCCCTCTCTCCCCTCCTGCCACCCAGCAGTCCACTCTGGGTGGGGGGGTGGCCTATGGGAGGGGCTGGGTGGCCACTGGTGGTCTCAGCGGCTCATCACAGAAGCTCTTCCCTTGACCCCAGAGCTCAGTTGCCTCTTTACCCTTCAACACTTGCTGATCAAAGGCCTATATGTGCCCGCCATTGGCGCAGGCTCTGGGGACATAAAAGTGGGAAGACGTGCCTCTCCTGTAAGGAGTGCAGGGCCTAGATGTGGAAACAGGTATGAGATTGGTGCTTCTGTTAGTGCCTACTCCGCCCATCATGAGAAAGTCAACTGGGGTGAGGACGGTCCAGGAGGACTTCCAGAGGAGGTGACACACAATGGCTATAATAGGATGAGGAGGTGGCCAAAGAAGAGTGTGGGGAGTATTCGAGGCAGAAAGCTGGAGGTTTACAGCAGCACCGTGCTGGTTTGGGGTACCAGCAAAGCGCTGTGAGTTGAAGACTGGGAATCCTATGGGGAGAGGCGTGGGAGGCGAGCCTGGCAAGAGGAAGGTTGGGGGTAATCCTACTCAGGGACTTGGAATTGACTGTGCAGTGGAGGTACGGCCCCCTCTGCGGTCTTCTTCCCTACCCCACACCCCCAACATCTCTCCGAGCACGTGTCCCCCACTCGTGGCGTGCTTGCCAATGTTCCTCAACAGTGGGTTTCATCATCCTAACTTGCCTCTTCTGCTCAGCCAGATCCTTCCCTTGTGCCAGCACGCCGGAGCGCTCCCTGGAAATCTGCCTGGGCCACAGTCCCATTCCCAGACACCTGCTGCTTCCAAGCCCGGAAAGTACCCCATAGCCGGTTTATCTCCCATGCTCCCTCCTTTCCAATCCACGCAGGGCTCAGCCCTCAGCCCCTCCCTTGCCTCCAGGCATGGCCACCTCTAGCTGTGCCCACTTCGGCTGACCATCAGCAATCCCTAGAACCCTCCACGCAGCATCTCCCCCTTTTTATTCTCCTGCTAGGTGCTGTTCATTACCAGGAGCCAAGAATCCCATTTAGCAAATGTTTACTTGTCACCTAACTAATCACCCAGCACTCTGCCACCATGGCGAATGCAGTTCCAGAAGGCCTGTTGGCAAGTGTGAGAGAGCCAGGGCATGGGGGGCAGGAAAGCTTCTTGGAGGACAAGAGGCAGGGCCCAGGGGTCAGAGAGAATGCGTTTGCTGGGAGAGCTCCCTGGAGCCAGCAGCAAATCTTCCCTCCTAGTATCACCACCTCCCCAGGCTGTCCCCAGCAGTCCCTGGCCAGAACTCCCCTCTGGGACCCAGCTCCTCAGGGCCCTACTCCACACAGACCCAGACGATGCCAGCCTTTCTCTGTGCACATCCTTTGATTGACTGAGGTGCGTGTAGCTTTCGATGGGGTCCGGGCCAACACGTGTTGCTGAGCCTGCTGACCCAGCCGTGGTGACATTCTGGCTCATCTCCTCCCAGTCTGGCTCTCTGGACTCACCTTCCTCAAGTAGGAGTTTAGCATGTCAGCCGTTACTCCACCCTGTGTCACCAATCCCCCACTATCAGCTTGTAATGGGCCAATTTTCTTATACCTTCTGTCTACTTGGAAAATATCTCAAGAACCCTTTGATTGTGCATTAAAATATCCTTCACAGCTCCATGCTCGATATCTCTTTCTGCTCCCCTAATTGTCCCTTTTAACTCACCGCGCTTTCGGAATAAATCTCACGGTCTCCCCTTTGCAGGCTGTTAATAAATACAAGCTCTAAAAAAACATACATAAACATCTATTGTTGGCTAAATAACTCACCACACAATCAAAAAGGCAGGAACAAAAGGGAGGGTCAGTGCAAGGCGTGCCCACCTGTACCTTCTCCCTCAGACTGTCCTCGCCTGTCTCGTTCAAGGGGGCCGCTGGACTCAGGGAGATTTATGGCCCTAAAATGTCCCCCGGGTGAAGGGACCAAGGATGCCCCAGACGCAAAGCGAGTGGCTCCGGTGCCATGTTGACAGGCCTCCCTCCCAGAGGAACGAGGGAGAGAGGAGGCCAAAGGAGACCCCTGTGTAGGGAGCCATGGCTAATTCAAGTGGCGTTTCAGTGGGCTGGTCCACAAGGCCCCTTACCTCCAAAAGAAGTGGGTCAGCCTCCTCCAAGACACGGCTCCAGCCTGCCCTGATGCGGCCTGCCCCCCATCTCTCCCCTTTCAGCTCTCATTTCTCAGTAGAGCCGGGAGTTTCTGAGCCCCGGCGGGGAGGGCAGGGCTGTGCCTTATTGTGTCACGGGTTTCTGTGCGCGCACTGTTGGCACGTCTGAATAGCCGAATTTGACACGACCGCTGCAAGATCTGCTTGGGTCACAGTGCTTTCCAAATTGCCTGCGACTCCACGCCGCCCCTCCTCTTTCACCCAGGCGTCTCAGGGCAGCCGGGCCAGCCACGGCTTCTGCCGCTCCCTCTCAGGGCCTCGGGAAACAGAGAGGAAGCGAGAGATGCACGAAACCCTTCCATCTCTGTAAGTACCATTTCCCCAGGAGGCAGGCTCTAAGGAAGAAGGAAAGGCAAGTGCTCGAGGCCTAACCAGGTGGGAGGCCTCCCAGGCAACCGGCTCCATATCACGAGGCCTCCACTGCCCAGGTTCAGGGGCACGGGCCGGACTGTGATGCCCTCCGCACGGCAGCTGACTGGAATGGAGATGTGGAGCATCCAGGTGGGGCCGCTTGCCCCTCCGGCCAGAGAGAGATGCGAGGGATCATCTCCAGGTAAGACTTCCTCGGTGGGGAGGGGCCCGCAGGACAAACCCAGTGAGGGACTCCTGGCCCGGGCTGGGGTCATGGACTGGATGGGCAAGGGAAGGTGAAGTTCCAAGTGAGACCCGTACGGTGTCTCTAGGGGACAGAAAGCACAGCCCTATGGGTCTGTCAGGTCACCAAAAGAGGCAGAGAAAGATGCAGACAGACAGACAGACAGGAGGGTCAATAGGGAAAGAGACATTTTGCACCTGCAGGCACACACACATTGCTCAGCCACCACCAACTGTCACTGTCCTTCATGCAACCGAGTGTGGGACATGCATGCTGTCCACAGATCTGATCACCAAGCACGTGTGCGGCCCAGCCAGGCCCTGGAATGCCATGGAACAAGAGTGCCCCTCCACGAGGGGCTTCCCTGCCAGCCAATAGCAGCCCCTTTTATTTGATTACGAGGGGGGGTGGTCAGGAGAGGGGCGGGGGGCCCACTGTCCCCACACGCTGGTGACCATCCATCAGGGACACCAGCAGGTGTGTGATGAGAGGCCGATTGCAGTCTGAGCCCTGAGCCTCCAAGTTCCCCAGCGAGCCTTGACCCGGAAGGGGCTTGTCCAGCTCCCGGCACCGTGGAGGTTCTGAAGAGGCCGCTCAGCCTTAATCTACAGATTCTGCACCTGTCCAGCGCACGCCTCAGCTCGGGGCTCCAGGCCAGCTGGGCTGCATTGACATTCTCCCCCCACGCTCAGGGTCACAGGGGTCTCCAAGGTGTTTTTATTCTTTACTCCGGCGTCTGAGCCTCAGAGGCCCCAGGGCCCTGACCTCTCGTCTCGCCTGCCACCTGCCACCTCACTTTTTATCTGTGGCATTTAAAGTGCCGCCGAGTGTCTGGCACTTTGTGAGCCTCAGATACAGACTTTTCTGAATTTCCACACCAGCCCTCTTTCCAGAAGCCACTGTAAGCTCGCCTCCTCACCTGTGTCCCTTCCAGTTGTGACCTGAGTTCTTGAGAAAGGGGCTCATGCCCAGCCCAGGTGCGCCCCACTTTGCTCTCAGCTCCACACCCAGAAGGGGAGATGGGTGGGACAGGTATTGTGCTGGAAGTTGCTGTAGGCGCAGCTGCTGTGAACTGCACGCCTCCCAACTGCCCCCCAGTCCCAGGTCGGCCCCGCCGTCCTTCCCGTCTCTGCCCCAGTGCCCCAGAGAACGGCCCTCCCGGCCTCACAGACGAGGCATGCCAGGTACCGGGTTACCAGCTCCTCTCTCCTCTCCTGCCGGCCCCACGCTGGGCCCAGCACTGGCAGCAGCCTTCCCAGGGCCTGGTCAGGAGCCGCGTCCACCGGCCCACTCCCCCTTGGCCTTCTCGCTCAGACACGCTTCATCCCTCAGTCGCAGGCTCGTTTTAGCTGCTGACTGGGCTCCCGCCAGGCCACAGCCCTGTCTTCCTGCAGAGGTTTCCTCCTCGTCCACTCCCTGTCCTAAGTCCAG